TACAAGGTGCTTAAGGCCGACCTTCAAATCACTAATGCCAAATGAGCTACAAAAATAGGAAAAATAAAATCTACGATCCAAAAGGTCCCTTATAATTAAAAATACATGAGTACCTACTAACATTATAGGGCTGCTAGAAGCCAATGCCCATAAAAGAAACATATTTAAATCAACATTATACACAAACTTTCTACAAAAAATAGGAGTCTTGCAAGAAAAAACCACAAACCAATATACCTGCAAAATAAAATTTTGCAAAGAAAGATATAGAAATTCCATAATAAAATGTGGAATTGAAAATGAAAGTGAAATTTCAAATTGAGAATAACATGTATAATGAATTTAGAAGAGTGCTGACTTAATGTGGATAAATTTGACATTTGAATACCACATAAGATTCACTTTAAATTTATATTTTGTTTCGTTTAGCCAAATCTGTGTAGATTAAAATTTTTTCATTTTAAAGCATAAATTGATGTCTACTATTTATTTTAAAAAAGAAACATTAAATTAATTTTTATGATCAAACACAACATAGGCAATATTCTATTCATCCCTTTGTTTTTTAAGAAAATGCATAAAATAGCATTAAAAGAAAAAAGAACTAAATCAACAAAGTAAGGACACTCCATACTAGATTCCTCCTTTAAAATAGACATAAATAAAAGAGGAATCTTATCTAATGATATTCCCAAATAAAAGAACTCATAATCCCATCGTTAGCACATAAGTCTGCTAACTTGTTACATTTTCAATCAACATAATTGAAAATAATTTGAGGAAACCCATCAAAAGTTTGAATGTTACCATATTTTGAGGATTGTTTTGAGTCTTGCAAGAACCTCATCACATTAGCATTGTCTCCTTTAATAATAATGCACTTATATTTGAACATCCAATACTTTATCACTTCCTTGATTGATTGAGTAGCAAGAAGCTCCATAGTAGAAATATCTCAATGAACATAAGGTTTGCCAAATGCCAATAGAAATCTACCTTGGTGATCACGAACCACACCACCATTTCACGCTTTAAAAGAAGGTAGAAGGGAAGCATCCACATTGAATTTAAGCCAATTAGGTGGAGGGGGATGCCAATGGATATTGGACAGCCATGAAGGCTGGTTAGCACCCCATTTACCCGAGAAATTAATAGATCTTTGAGCCATAGTTGATGAATAGCTCACTGCATGAGCACCAATATTCATTGAGTTGTCTTCTTTACCATTATGAATCAAATTATTCCTACATTTCCAAGAGAAGAAAGTCACATTGCAATAAAGGTTAACGATGAATGAGCATTGATTATAAAACCAGTTGATATATTCCAGTAATGAATCAAAAACATGAATATGAAAGCCCCACTTTTCAATTTGCAGAAAAACTTCCTTCAATTTTTTACTTCTAGCCGTTACATGGTTTAAATATTCATCTTCAAAACAATCTCTCGGGCATAGAATCCAGTTAAGCAATCTTTTATAAACCAGTAGCTTCTTAGTGGGAATGGCATCACTGAAAATCCTCCACAAAACATTTTCCACCCTTGGATTCAGCTTTGCTTTTTTAATCCAGCACCAATAATTTCTACAGCCCATATAATTGACAGATTTTTCAAGTAACAAACCAAAAATTGATTTACCACATAATTGATGCATGAGTTCTCTCTTGTCTTCAGATGAATCGGTGTTAATCTTAATTTTACCAATAGCATCCTCATTCCATCTACCATTACTGATTAAATTAGAAACAAGAAAACTGCTATCATCATGTGGAATAACAAAGGTTGGCCAATTGTTTAAGCTCTTGTCCAGTATCCAAGTGTCATTGAAAACGTCAATGTTAATCCCATTGACAACATTCCATCTAATAATTTGTTTAAGAGAATTACCTCCATCTGATAAAATCTTCCATGAAGCAGTTCCACTCTCCTTGAAACTCCAACCAGAATACTTCCATATTTTGGAAATAGAATTCTGTGAAGCAGAGAATCCTTGTCTTCCATATATTTCCATGCCAATTTTCCTCTCAAGGGTCCAATGATACTAAAGCAAGAGTGGAGTCCTCTTCCTCCATAAGCCATTGGTAAGCATATTAAGTTCCAATTTACATAGTGAATGCCATTATTACCATTAGATTTATTCCATATAAAATTTCTGCAAATTTTATCAATTTCATCAAGCACGCTCTTAGGAACTAAAGATTTTGTACAATGGAATATAATGAATGATAAAAGAGTAGATTTAGACAACAAGATCTTCCATGCTAAAGAAATAATCCTTCCTCCCCAAATGTTTCTCATCTTCAAGGCTTTATCAATGATAAATTGGAAATCTTCTTCAGATAGTCTTCTGGTGGCTAACTTTATTCCAATATAAGTTAATTCTTTTGCTGTTTTGAATCCCATGATGCGACCAATAGATTTCTTCAACCTTCTATTAACCATCTTCCCAAAGATCATGCTAGATTTGTTGAAGATGATACAAAGGCCAGACCATTCACAGAATTTCTCCAAAACATAATTAACATCCTTAACATTTTTAATTTGGTTTCCGAGAAGATGATCACATCATCCGTATACAACATGTGAGAAAGTATTGGACCCTTAGAGCACAATCGAATTCCAATATTGTCTTCTCTTTGTTTCAAAGCATTTGAAAGAAGTTGAGAACATAGAATATAAAGAAAAGGAGACAAGGGACAACCTTGTCTAAAGCCACTCTTGCCTTCAATCAAACGAGAGAGATTGCCATTGATAAGTATTGAAAATTTTGAATCTTGAATACATTCCAAAATAAGACTTGAGAATTTGGTTAGGAAAGCTAAAATACTTCAAGGCTTTCCTTAAGTTAGGCCAACCCATAGAATCAAAGGCTTGTTCCATGTCTATTTTGAAAGAAACCAAACCTTTAGTAGAATGAGAATGTCTAAATTTATGCATGTCCTCTTGTGCAATTAGCACTTGATCTGATAAAGATCTACCTTTCAAAAATGCTGCTTGTTCTTCAGAGATTAATTTAGGGAGGAAAGAAGACTTTCTATTCATTAAAACTTTTGCCACCACTTTATAGACCGTGTTACATAAGCTAATAGGTCTATAATTGGAAGAAACTAAAAGATTAGAGACTTTAGGAATAAGAACTATAATAGTTTCCTTCCAATTAGAATCCATAATAGAAGACTCCAAAAAAGCAGTAATAGCATTCCAAAAGTCAAATTTAATAATATCCCAATAAGGTTTAAGAAAGGAGAAGGTAATAATGTTATTTCCACTTTGCATGATTACATCCTCAACTTCTTTAACCAAGAAGGATTTTTCTAGCAAAAATCTGTCTCCATCATCAAGAGTTTGCCAGATAATAGGCCAATTATCCATATTGCAATCTTTATTCCAGCAAACAGCTGAAGTAATTGATCAACACTTCTTCAATACAATGTTGATCCTCAACAATCACTCCATTGTCATTTTTAATCTTTGAAATAAAGTTTGAATTCCTTCTTGCCGAAGCAAAAGTTTGGAAAAATTTGGAATTGCGATCACCTTCCGTCATCCACTTAACCTTTGCTCTTTATCTCCACCAAGTCTACAATCTAGCAAGAGTAAAATTAAGCTCTTCCACTTTAACTTTGAGTGCCCAGCTATCATGTTCTGAAAGAAATCCATCTTCCACCTCTTTCATTTGAAATTCTTCAATTTGTTTTAGGAGATCTCCTTTCAAAGTGAATAAGATTTCATTTTTGCTTTACTCCAATAGAATAGAGCCTTTAGAGTCTTCTTCATCTTAATATTAAGAATATGAGAAAAGTTACCTTCACATCTTCTATTCCAAATGCTTTTTACAACTGCTGCCGAAGCCTTGCTAGAAACCCAAATGTCTTCAAACCTCAAAACTTTCTTGGAAGCATGGTGAATTGTGAGATTTAGGAGGATAGGACAATGATCAGAGGGCACACGAGCCAAATGTCTAACCACAAAATGATTAGAAGAGTTCAAAGCAACAGAATTTAAAAGGCATCTATCAAGCCTCTCAAGGATTTGATCAACTCCAATTTGATTGTTGCACCAAGTAAATTTTGGTCCCACATAGCCAATATCATGAAAATCATGATTTGATATGAAATTCTTCATCTCTTTAGGTCCAAGTGAAAACTTAAATCTTTTCCCTCCTCTCTTATCTTCTTTATAAAGAATACAATTAAAGTCACCTCCTATCACCATATTCATTTCATTGGAAGAATGAAATACCAAACTTTCCCAAAGACTTCTTCTTTTATAAACATCCTTGTTACCATAGATAGTGGCGATCCTCCATTTGCATAAGTTTGGTATCTCAAATCTCCAACAATAAGTTGTGAAGAAGCCTCCAACAAATGAAATCCAGCATAATTAAATTTCCATAACAAAAGGATTCTCCTGACAATCCTTCAGAAGGAACTTGAACAAAATCCCAATCACTTCCAATAAGATGATCAACATCCTTTCTGTCAAAATAGGAAATTTTAGTCTCCAAGAGACCATTGAAGAACACCCCTTGCTCCTTAACCACCTCCTTTAAGTATAGAGAAGCCCTCCTTTTTCTAGCTCCTCTACAATTCCAAAATAAAGTTGAAGAGTTTATAGATTAAGAGGGGATGAAGTCCCCGCATTAAATTCTTCCTTGCTTTTATAAACTGCATCTAATCTTCTAATCCTTAGTACCAAATTAATAGGCCTCAAGTTTTTCAGTTGCTTAGAACCCCTCTTCTTAATATTGGAAGAAGAATCTTCCTTAAATTCAATGTTTTCCTTCATTTCCTTGATAATAGTCTTGAGGAATTTTTTAGAAGTCATATTTAAAATAGCAGTTTCATCCACCACATTGGCAGATTTATCTTCAAAAGAGATAATCTCTCCATTTTCCACCAACTCTTCTAATATACTAAATTTATTAGAGTTAGCAATATTAGAAGATAAGGGTGGTAAATCCTTCTTAACAGGTGCAGAATTTGAAATTCCAGGGTTGTCTTGAACCGACAGCTTCACAGCAAAAGAGACATCTTCAGGGTTTTTGTTCTGAAAATAAGATGGCTTATCCAATGGTTTATTCTCAGCAATAATTTGAATAAGAATTGGGTCAATAAAATTCCTAAAAGAATTTTTATTAACCGAATGTTCTTTGATCTATGGGACAGATCTTTTAAAAATATTTTTCTTGAATCTTCCTTTTTTATAATAGACTTGCAACCAAGGTTCATAACCATTTTGAGAGACATTATTAGTTTTATCATCTATAGTGGACTTCATAACAGGTAATTCAGTATCTACAGGAATAGAAGATTTCACCTCTTTATTCTGAGACATTCTTCCATCAAAACATTTTCAGGACATCCATTCTTCAAGTGGCCGATCTTTCCACAAGCAAAGCAAAAATTTGGTAACCTTTCATATTCAATTTTTTGAAAGAACCTTCCACTGCTACCTTCCACCCAAACTCCAAGAGGTGATTTTGTGTCAAAATTGATACGGACACACACCCTACCGAACTCCCTTCTCCCACATTGGAACATATTTCCATCAACCTTGTAAGGCTTCCCAATTATAGAAGCAATTCTACAAATGTTGATTGGGTCCCAACATTTTAATGGAAGGTTAGGAAACCTAATCCAGATAAGAGCCGATAACCCTTTTAAGGAAGACGGAGAGAAGCTAGGAGACCTCCTATCCATACCAATGATCTTTCCATTTACAAAACAAAGGTCCATTTGAAAATATAACTTCTAGAGTTGATTTTTCATGAAATGAGCAAAGAACCCAATCCAATCCAAGCAAAGTGAGATGAAATTTCCCAAAAGGGGACCATTATCTTCTTAATTCAGTGCTTACCAAAGGAAATGGAGCATTGCTTCCAAAAACTCTTATAACCAAAGAATTTTGAAGCCTTTTTGAGTTCTCAATTTCATTCTCCAAGTGAAGTTTTATAGCATTGCCATCATCGAAAGAAATTCTCCAAGGTCCAGGTTGTGAACCTTAATGTGTTCCTTCTTGCTCAAAACATTTTGTTGGGTAGATGGCATTGGCCTAGCATTAATCAAATCCATAGAATCCTTGCACATTCCCAATTCACCTAGGTTACATTCACGGACTCTAATTAAATCAGAGTCCATTAGCATATCTTTTTCAGAACTTACTGTCGCAGATTTATCATCATAACCTCCTACAGGAAGATTAGCTCCTTGCAAACTTGAGCTATTTCTTTCGAAAGCTTCATCAGCAGCTCCAATCATAACTGATGGATTATTTATCTCCATATTATTATCTCCAGTGATTTTCACACCCTTCATGCAAAACATCAGAGCATCTCCATTATTTCTTAAGACATGGAAGTTTTCATCATTCAAATGAAAATTTAAAGATTTATCCATCATCAATTCCTTTCCTTTGCCGATAACCTCTAGAATTAACTTAGATGAACCTTGAAGTACACCCTCCTTAATATTTAACGGATTACCATATCTGATAGTCTATTTTGATGATTGAACAAAACCAGATTTACTATCTCGGAAAGCAGGCGGAGATGAAGAAAAATCCTTGGCTGGTACGAGCGAACCTCCATTAGGAAGCCGACGAACATCCATAGAACCACCAGCCGGAGTTGGCCGACGAGACTCTGACGACATTCAATCCTGTGGGAATCCCGTGGAATTGAAAATTTGATTTCCAATGAACAAAATCTGAATTTCCCTAAGAGTTTCTCTCTCTAGTTTCTCTCTCTAATTCTATTCATCCCATTGAATAAAAGGAAGATTAACCTATCATTATAAGGATAAAAAAGTGAATCTTATGTGACATTAAAACAACAATTTTGTCCCCAATAATGCCACACTCTTCTAAATTTAATAATAAGCATGAAAATAACCTCACATTTTTTTAGTAGATGGATATCACTAATTTCCCTGATTTCCATAAAACAGATCTATTGAAATAGTTTTGGCAAGATCCATCCAAAACCGTCAAGCAAGTGGTAAATAACCTCTT